AATGTAGTCTTTGCCCTCAGATCTTACTACTATGAGAATGACCTCCAGGCCTTCATATAGTAGCAGGTCCTACAGAAAACGGTCTGCACAAAACCATTTGCTCGAGATTCTCAGCTGAGGATTTGTATACCTAATATGATTCTACTTATCTCAAGGGAATTTCAATAAAATTAGCATCTCTAACTTTTAAAATAAATGCCATATGCCATACTTTGGAGGATTTTGGTTATGGGGAAAGGATAAGGAATTACTAACTTAGAAAGGTAGAATTAATCCCCTGAGTGCTTCGATGCCAGCTTTGAAAATTTCCATCAAGGAAGTTTCCTGCTGTATTACTAAGTTTCTATCAGGCTTATGTTTAACTTAAGGGCTGTTTTCATTCAATCCCCAAAACAAAAGATTTGGAGTTTTCCAATGGAGAGGTAGAGTCAGAGATGAATTCTGTGAAATAATTGGGATCTAGCTAGAGAAGACAGGGAGGAAATAAAGTTTCCTCAGTTTTCGCAGTTTATTACTCCTTCCTTCTTGAAACGTCGTCTCCCAGGCTTCCAAGACCCATACACTGTCTTAGCTTTTCTCCTTTCTTCCAGGCTGCATTTTCTCAGTCATCCTTGCCAGGCCCTCCTCCTTCCAAGCCTGAAATGTTGAAGGGCCCCAGGGCTCAGCCCCAGATGTCTTCTTTCTCCACACGCGGTAATCCTGTTCTCTTTACACATAAATACGATTACTGCCACATTTCTAGCTCCAGCCTCAGCCTCTTTCGTCAACTCCAGGCTCATCTAGCCATCTACTTACTCTATATCTCTATCCAGTTTTCTGAAAAGTGTCTCAAACTTAACCCATCCAAAACAAAACCCTTGATTCCACCCCAAGACACTCTGCCCCTCTTGGATCCTCCCCATTGTCATAAGTGGCATCACCACTCACCCAGTTGCTCAGGCCCAAATCCTTGATATTGTACCTGACTCTTCTTTCACTCAGACCCTGTATTCAACCCCCCAGCAAATACTTTTGGCTCTACCTTCAAAATACATCCAGAATCCGGCCGCTTCTCACCACCCTTCAGCTACCAGCCTGGTCCAGGCCCTACTTCTTTCTAGCCCGTCCTTTTTCAGTAACCACCTAACTGGTCTTGCTGCTGAGTTCTTGCCTCTCTCCAGTTCTTCCTCCACCCAGCTAGACAGTTCTATTAAAAGATAAGTCAGATCATGTCATTGCTCTGCTCAGAGCCCTTCAGTGCTTCCCCTCACACTTAGAACAAAAGCCAAAATCTAGTTTATATGACACTCAAGACCTTACATGTCTTGGCCTTGCCTCGTCTTCCTCTTCATTTCCCACCCACCCTTCCCTGCACACTCGCCCTGCTCCAGGCAGGTCAGAGGAGCTGCCTTACAGTTACCCAAACCTGCCAAGCACATTGCTGCTTGCAGGGGGTTTGCATTGCTGTGCCCTCTGCGGGCAATGCTCTTCCCATGTCATTTATGTGGTTTGCTTCCTCCTTTCATCCTCATCTCTGCTCACATGTCTCCTCTTCTCCAGGCCTTTCCTGACCCACCTTATCTAAAAGAGAACCTCCACCATTCACTCTCCATCCCCGTACTCCATTTTTCTTTTTAGCGCTTCTCACTATCTGATGTTAATTTTGATTGGTTTATTATGAGCAGGTCTCTCCTGTTAGCATGTAAGCTCCGTGAGTACAGAGTATTCACCACTATAGCTCTACTGCTGTGAACAGTGCCAGACACTTAGTAAGTATTGAATAAATATTTGTTGAATGAATTAATGAATAATATCCTAGACATTAGATCTTTTGCCTTTGTTCCTTCTTTCACTGAATGCATGAATATACAGCTAGCCATGTGATATTTTATTTTTTATTGGGTTAAGCCACTCCTTGCTTATTTAGCCAAAGCTTATGTCAGTTTCATAACAGTAGAAAATAAGGGAGGCAGGGTCCTCATTACCTAGTACACACCCTAGTACTCTGTTGACATTAAGATGCACACATAACTTTAATCCAGAAGAAGTGTGTTTTTCTTGCTCTTTTCTACAACTGACATGCACTGGGCAAGTCTGTTCAAAAAATAATCATAAAATCTAGTACACTGCCTCAGTTTCCCTAGTGTATCTGAGAACAAGATTGGGTCTGGGAGAAACAGACTAAAGCAAATAAGCCTACACTTTCCCATTCCCTCTCTCAGATGCCACCTCATCCTATTCATGAGAACTGACACAGTGTGGATGGCTGCCACATTCTTTTGTATTACAAATCCAGTCATCTGAGCCTCTGGGGACACGACCACACCGCCCTGTCTGTTGCTGAGGCTTTCCGTTGCTTAGCCTGTGTTTCTGGCTCCTGGGCCACTCCTCAACCACTTTTGATAGGAGAAAAAGATGTATTAACACATAGCAATTAAAATTCTAGCAGTTGGCAAAGATTGGCTTGATGTTCTTAGAATCATCTAGTGTGGTGGTTTCTTTTTTTTTTTTTTTTTAAAGATTTTATTTATTTATTTTTTCCCCCCAAAACCCCAGTAGATAGTTGTATGTCATAGCTGTACATCCTTCTAGTTGCTGTATGTGGGACACGGCCTCAGCATGGCCAGAGAAGCGGTGCGTCGGTGCGCGCCCAGGATCCGAACCTGGGCCACCAGCAGCAGAGGGCGTGCACTTAACCGCTAAGCCACGGGACCGGCCCAGTGTGGTGGTTTCTAAACCTAATTACTTAACAGAATCACCTGGGCAACTTTTTGGAAATACAGGTTCCCAGGTCCCATTCTGACCCTGGGGTTGGGATAGGGCTCTGGTATGGCACACACGCACACAGTCTCTCTCTCTCTCCCTCCCTCTTTCTCTCTTTCTAGCAGATTATATATATTCCTAGTGATAATAAGTGCTATGAAGCAAACAAATGAAGGGCAGAAAAATAAGAGTGGAGATTGTGGGGAAGGGTTTTCTGAGGAGGTAGCATTTGGTCTGTGATGGGAAGTTTTAGGAGAAAAGCACTTCGGGCAGGAAATAGTGTGGTGTGTTTACAGAATTAAAAGCAGACCAGTGTGACTGGAGCACAGCAAGTGACTAGGGGAAGAGCTCCGAGTGCGGTGGGAGAGAGGGCCTGGGACCACATCACAGAGGCTTTGCAGACAAGGATGAAGGGTTTGGGTTTTGTTCCCAGTGCTCACATTTTCCTGAGAACTTTGAGGCCTGTGTGGAGAATGGATTGCAGGAGCACAGCAGTGGAAGCTGTGAGACCTGAGCAAGGCTGTACTGTGATAGTGAATGGGACTCAAGTGGTGGCATCCAAGATGGAGAGGAGAGGGTGGTTTCAAGGTGTATATTTTAAGAAAGTCAACAAGACTTGCTGATGAGTGGGATGTGGAGTGGGAGAGAGGATAGCGAAAGAAGGATGATGCTGAAGGGGTTCTATTAGAGACAATATGGGGTATGGTTGAGTGCCCCAGTTCCCTCATCTGTAAAATGGGAGTATTAAGGGACTTTCCGACTGGATAGCTGGTGAGTTATTTGTAAAGCACTTAGAGCAGAGCTTGGCACACAGTAAAACACTATGTAAGCATTAGTGGTGATGTGGATGATGGTGATTCGTCCAAGGTTGCACGGCTGGTCAGCAGCAGGTCTAGGATGAGAAGCCAGAGGTTAGCCTCTTGGGTCAGCGTATTTTATGCTACACTGAGATGCCTCCTCAATTATCTTTGAACTTTTTTATTTATGCAGACTCTTGGTAGAGAATTTGGTCGTTATGGTACATGATGAGTATCACTTATTGTAACATATGAATGTTGCACCAAACACGATGAATTGCTAGGGTGTTCTGTGCAGCCTGGAATTCCAGGTTATTTCAGCTGTCCATAAAACCGTGCTATTCCAGACAAAACACAGGGCCCAGAATAGTGGTACGAAGTGGGTACAGGAAGAGAGATGGTCTGTGGATAGATTTTAAATATTAAAAGAAATATCTTCCAGAATATAGATGTACTCATGTTGTGCACATGCTTAGGCTGGAGTAGGCACATGCACTGCAACAGGAGATGGTGTTAAGAGTCCTTCAGACCGGAAGTCATAGGTCAGTGCATGCCAGGAGAGGGAAAGAAATAAAGCTCAGAATGTTAGTGTAACTCCCCTGGATTGTCAGGCTCCTAGTGATGTGTCTTAAAGAAGTGTTTGAAGTGCTTCTATCTGTCAGTTTCAACTAAGTTAATTTTTAAAAATTGCTCTTTGTACTGTGCCTTTCTCATGAACTTCTGTAAATTTAATGCATGCAATATGTGGGGGGAAATCCTATCAGCCTCAGTTCCCATCCCCCCAAAGTCTGAGAAGCAGATTTTAGAAGCACATTGTTGCACCTGCAAGGATTTTGTCATTTTATTAAATGGACCTGAGACCATGTTCATCGTATCTTGTAGAAAGGAATTTCAGAAAGAGGGGAGAGAAAATGCCAACTCAGCCCCTCCTCCCTCCTATTGACTGTTTTGTTGCACCTCTGTCTCAAACAGCCTGGGGAGGACTGTTCTTCATTACCAGGGAATGTGAGTCATTCCCAGGCTTGTGTGATTGGGATTCCAAAGCATTGCTATATCTGATGGTCTTATTAAATCCAAGTGTCAGTGCAGCCTTTCAGACTGTAGGGGAGAGCTCAGTTACAGCTGGTGACCTGGTTCTAGTTACCACACAGAGACACTGGCGAGAGCAGTGACCCCCTCTGAGCACCCAGAATTCCTCATGGATGGCTGTTGCCAACTGTTCCCAGATTTGAGGGTTTCCTGGTTCACTTCATGAGCTTCAATACATTTCAGCTCCCTGTTTATAGATATCTATTTGGGATCTATATACTTTCGGGGAAAGTGTGTCTGTAGACAAGCTGAAGGCAAGATGAGCCTAGCATTTGGAGGGTACCTTGTTTCAGATTTACTCAGCCCTACCAGTGTTAACTTTGCTGTGTCCAGGATCTAGCAAGACACTATCCATTTCCAGCTTGATCCAAACAAAACAAAACATCAACCAGAGAGGGAGGAGACTATAGATGTTGCCAGAAAATTAGTTTGCTCTGTCTTTTCTTTCTCCTAGAATGTTTCACAGCCAATGGTGCCGATTATAGGGGAACGCAGAACTGGACGGCACTACAAGGCGGGAAGCCATGTCTGTTCTGGAACGAGACTTTCCAGCATCCATACAACACTCTGAAATACCCCAACGGGGAGGGGGGCCTGGGCGAGCATAACTATTGCAGGTAAGATGGGACCACACAGTACTTAGAAAAAAAATCTCTGATCTCTTCTTCCAAGCCCTTCCAACCTTGCTCACAACTAGGGAGAACTTCTTTGTATCCTTTTGGCCAACTCAGAAGGCCTGTCTTGATATTATTTTAAAAATCTCTCCCACACCTTGTGCGCGAGCGCGCGCGCACACACACACACACACACACACACACACACACAGACATCCACATACAATCTACTACTCTTTTCAACTTGAGTGGCTTTGATACAAATTTCTGGTTTTCAGAACTCTGCTTTCCTGTCTGATCACTTACATGTCTCTCTGGGAGGGTTTTCTTAGTTGACCCTACTACCAGTGGACAATACACAGCTTCTTAAGCTGCTGTGAATCTAGTGGTCAAGCAGAGCACCATCTGTGGCCCAAATCTCCCTTTGCTTCTGAGCAAAGGAAGCTGCCCTGCATTATCCCACTTCCTGCCAGCCCAGGATAACCTTGCTCTGAGAGCAGCTGTAGCCATCAGATTTGTGCTGTTTCCTTCCTTTCAATAGACCAAGGTGTGTCTTTGCTCTTCACCTCCTGTCTGACTCTAGCAGGGGCGCTTAACCTGAGATCCATGGTGCTTCAAATGTGTACGTGCGATTTTCTGGGGAGATGATCTATGGTTTGATCAGATTCTCAACGTTATCTGTGATCCAAACCAAGTTAAGAATCACTAGGTTGGGGCTGGCCCAGTGGTGTAGCGGTTAAGTTTGCACCTTCCGCTTCAGCAGCCCTGGGTTCGCCGGTTTGGATCCTCGGCGTGGGCCTACTCACCACTCATCAAGCCATGCTGAGGCAGCGTCCCACACAGAAGAGCTACAACTCTACAACTATGATACACAACTATGTATTGGGGCTTTGGGGAGAAAAAAGAAAAAGAGGAAGATTGGCAACAGATGTTAGCACAGGGCCAATCTTCCTTAAAAAAAGAATCACTGGGTCTGTAGGGACCAGAGCAAAGATTCTAAGCACTTTTGGTTATAGCTACATTTTAGCTATTTATACCCAAGATCTTGGTAACGTGACTCATGATTCAGCAATGTGTTGAATTTAGTTATTATTAGGACAGGTGCAAAGGCAGCCTCTTGAGCCCCTGGGACAGGGAAAAAGGATTGCTGAGCTACATTTTGAGCTACACACTGTGTCCCGTGTTCTACCAGTATGTTGAAATCTCAACCATGGCACTGTTGACCCAACTGAGCCAACATATTTATACCTGCATTGCGTGGGCCACACTGTTTACCTTCTGCCCTCCCTACATACCTTTGCTAACACTCTAGGACCCATGTGGTTGTTTTGAAGTCACCAGGCCTGTAGTCCATGTCATCTTTATCCCTGTGCCTTTAGCTCTTTCCTTCACCTCTGTCCTAATTTGTGCCAACTGGCCATTCCCCCATAGTTGCTGTTGCATTGTTTTTTAGTTTGTTTATTATTATAAAAATATTAAAAGCTTTCCAAAAAGATTCTCAAACCCTACAGATATGTATTGTTTAAATAAAGTCCCCCATTTTACCTCTTTCCCCCCAAATCCTCCCCACCAAGCCCCACTTCCCAGAGGTAACAATTTGTATATTTTTTACTTCACATTTTGCTACCTTTTGTATTTTATTGTTCAAGTTACATGCTCATTAAGTAATTCTTTTACATTTTATTTTCAAAGTTATACATGTTCATTAACATTTTTTTTTGCATAACTAAAAAAATTAACCCTACTCCATTTCTGGTTTATTTCTTTCCTCTAAGTTTTTCTAATCATAGAATAGTTGGGTTGGTTTGGGAAGAGAAACCAGCATCTGTTTTTTCTTTTTACATTGTTACTTATCTTCTTGCTCTAAAGTGTCTTTTGGTAGTAGGCTATTGGTTTATCTATTATTCTGTTGTCAAGCAAGTCTTCTCAGAAGGGCTCTAGTTTTTAAGTCTGACTTTAAGTAAATTTTAAATTTCCAAGGAGGTTTAATTTATGTGAAAAAATTCTTTCCTTATAGATTAGCACCCAGTTCTACCCATAGCCTCCTAGAAATGCACCAGGAAATATCCATTGAGAGAGCAGTGAGAGCCAGGTATAACCACCTTCCTCCTTAGCCCTGGCTGGCTGCAGCTGTCTCTTTTGATTTGAAGGAATGTGCCAGACCTGAACTACCAGTTTATACTTCGAAAAAGAGAGGCTGAAATTGTTGATTATTATCACATCAGAGAGTCCGGGCCTTTTGTTTTAGCACTGCAACAAAGTCAAAGATGAATTTACTTGTTCTTTATTAAGCTATTCTGATGCTTTTCAGAGTGGTTTTGACATAGTTAATAAACAGTTGTTTTCTAAGGTCTTTACCAAATACTACATCAAAGCCGAACACTGAATAGAGGGAGGAAGATGACAGTGAAATATTGTTTAAAGCAGGGCTTTGTGCAAGAAACCTACTTTGATTTCTCAGCTGACATCTGACACTATGTTTGTCTTGTGCCATGTTTCCAGACCCATCACAGTTGCAGTGTCTGAGAGATGGCGAGTGATGGGAACGCACTTCTCCGGGCTCGACGTATCTGGATTAGAGGGGAAGGCAGAGAGACTGGGAAGAGCAGAGTTGGCGCTGGCACCTGCCTTTGGGCACAAAAAATAAAAGGACCCTTTGTGTTTCAGGGCGGCTTATCTTCTGGGCCACACAATAGGCTTATCCCTCTCAGGCCTGATAGGGGTTACTCCAAACCTCCCGCTGCAGGGTCTTTATACCCATTTCCGGCCTAACCGGAGTGTCAGGTTTCCAGTGTTCTGAGTCTAAATAAAGGGAGCTTGGACAGCAGTGAAGAGAGGCGAGGCTTTTCTGTGTGTCCAGTAGCCCCTGCCATTTTTTGGTCTATTCCAGCAGTGTTGCCCATTATTGTCATGGCATCTCTGAATTCAGAAGATCTTAAAGGGGGGCCTGGCCTGGTGGCATAGTGATTAAGTTCGCACCCTTTGCTTCAGTGACCCGGGGTTCACAGGTTTGGATCCCAGGCGCAGACCTATGCACTGCTTATCAAGCCATGCTGTGGCAGGCGTCCCACATATAAAGTAGAGGAAGATGGGCACGGATGTTAGCCCAGGGCCAGTCTCGCTCTGCCAAAAGAGGAGGATTGGCAACGGATGTTAGCTCAGGGCTAATCTTCCTCACCAAAAGAAAAAAAAAATCTTAAAGGGCGTTTATTCCAAGCCACTCATTTAGAAATGTAAATTAATCTTTTAAAAATATTATTGCTGTATCAGAAGTTGGTACCAGGATTACAGGATTGTATGTTCTAACTGAAACTCTTTGGCATAGTTTTCTTCAAAATTCTCTGAGAAGTTAGTATTTTGAGGTAGAAATAAGACCCATTTCAAGCAGATGTGAGTTGATCAGCCTGATCCTGATGAAGGCTTGTCAGTGGAGTCCATGCTATGTGAATTTTATTTTATTGTTTAAAAATTACACAACCTGTTCATTGTAGAGGAAATAAGAAAATAGAATCCAAAAAAGAAAAAAAAATTAAAATTACCGATAGTCCCATCATCCAGAGATAAATACTTTCAAGGATTTGGTGTGTATCCTTCTCTATATACATATTTTCAAATAATGAGATTATGTCATCCATCGTGTTTTACAACTGCCTTTTTAAAAAACCTAACAAGACATTGTGAATGTCTTTCCGTATTAATATATGTGTCTCTACATCACATTTTTACTAGCTGCCCGGCATTCCCTACACGGGTATAACATATTTATTTAACCAAGGCTTAATTGTTGGGTATTTGTTGTTTCTAACTTCTAAATATTATAAAAATGCTGTGGTGAACATCTTTGTAAGTTATTCAGCTTTATTCTAAGATTTCCTTAGAATAAAGTACTAAAGGAGAAATTGCCGAGTAAAGGGAGTTTGTATATATTTAGGGCCTTTGACTCTAATTACTAAATTGCCATCCTGACCGTTTGCATCTGTTCACATTCTTATCTGCATGTGCTCTCTCAGCTGTGGAAATCTCCATTGTTCACACTTAAGGTGCCAGTGCTGTTTGGCATGATTTGTTCAGTGGTCAGTTGTCCTGGTGATACTGTAGTTAATTTGTATAAACATATATCAACTTTGCTCCCTCCCCCACCCACTGCCCCCCAAGTCTGAAGTATATGTTGGAGTGGATAGATGTGTTCTTGTAGTATTACCGTTTTTTTTTCTTCTTCATAAGAGGTAGCATTGAGATACATACCAATTATTAGAAATAACACAGGCCGGCCCCGTGGCTTGGCGGTTAAGTGCGTGCGCTCCGCTGCTGGCGGCCCGGGTTCGGATCCCGGGTGCGCGCCGACGCACCGCTTCTCCGG